AACAACATTTTACAATGTACGCTTATTTAGTTATCAGCCCTGACAAATGCTTCTCCGCTGTTGGAAACCATGAACCGTGTTTAACAGCATCTAGGGGGCATCATTATGCTCCGTAAACCCCCCTTACCAAAGTTCAAGTCACTCTGACATCGGAGATACCCGTCTGGTGTTAGGTTTCCTTGGGTTTTGGCCACCTAAGAAAAGCACAAGCCGTTCACACATAAGGGGCAACATTTAGAATATCGGTGACAATTTGACAACCGAATCTGAAAGACATTTTGTATCGGATTTGGTAAATTAACGATGGGACAGTTTAGTTTGTCAGAGTTTTCTCCAATTCTGTGGTTGTTCACCCTGACGCATTCTTGCATGCCCTTGGTTTAATTATGGTTTGTCAGAGTTTGCTCCAATTCTGTGGTTGTTCACCCTGACGCATTCTTGCATACCCTTGGTTTAATTATGGTTTGTCAGAGTTTGCTCCAATTCTGTGGGTGTTCACCCTGACGCATTCTTGCATACCCTTGGTTTAATTATGGAGCTTGCTGACCAGTGCTTCCTTTGCAAACAAATCTTAATGAGGTCAGTGACACCCTGAGGGCAGACGTACTTATTTTGAGTTTGTTTGGGGCAGTGATATGCCCTCAGGATAACGACGTGGAAAGCCAAATGCAATCCCAGGTCAAAAAATCTCGTGACATTTTCAGTCCACAATCTCAAACAAGTTACCACCCACACCGCCCTGATTGTCATCTTCTGAAGGGTGGCAGTGCCTTTCGCTGTGTCGAACTATCGTTGAAATAAAGCTGCAAGGGTAGTTGGCTGTGAGGCGATTTTTATTTTTCCTATAAAAAAATGTGAAATTTAAATTAATAAATGTGCTTGTGAACCTACCTCCCCCCCACCGTTTTGTGATAATAATAATAAAACAACTTAAGAGGGCACTTCGTACAACGATGTGACGAGGGCATTTTGCAGTTCGCCTTTTACACAAATGAAACATTGCAGGCGTGAGAAAACCACCGAGCGCTCGACACAGCAGGGCAACTCGTAACAATGTGAACGCAATCGGTGACGAAGATGTTCGTCAAGCAAAGTGTTTCATTCGATATCTTAGCGAAACGACTACAACGAGCGGTGCAAAATCGAGCATGACGATGGCCAATGGCCACGGAGGCCCACCAAAGAGCGAAGGGTGAGCCCGACTTTGAGGAGATGAATGAGCACAGACGTGGGCCTCAATCAACCCCCCAGACACCAAGGATCACATCCCTCAACTCCCCCGAAACAAGAATGTCCTGGCCCTGCACCGTTTCTCCATCGCTGCTCCCATCATTTGGAATTGCATCCCCGCTATACATCAGCAGCTGACGTCGAGCAGCAGCTAGAAGCAGCAGCTAGCAGCTAACAGCAGCAGCAGCAGCTAGCAGCAGCAGCAGCTAGCAGCAGCAGCAGCTAGCAGCAGCAGCAGCAGCAGCTAGCAGCAGCAGCTAACAGCAGCAGCTAGCAGCAGCAGCTAACAGCAGCAGCAGCTAACAGCAGCAGCAGCAGCTAACAGCAGCAGCAGCAGCTAGCAGCTAACAGCAGCAGCTAGCAGCAGCTAACAGCAGCAGCTAGCAGCAGCAGCTAGCAGCAGCTAGCAGCAGGAGCAGCTAGCAGCAGCAGCAGCAGCTAGCAGCAGCAGCTAGCAGCAGCAGCAGCTAGCAGCTAACAGCAGCAGCTAGCAGCAGCAGCAGCTAGCAGCAGCTAGCAGCAGCAGCAGCTAGCAGCAGCAGCTAGCAGCAGCAGCAGCTAGCAGCAGCAGCTAACAGCAGCAGCAGCTAGCAGCAGCAGCTAGCAGCAGCAGCTAGAAGCAGCAGCTAACAGCTAGCAGCAGCAGCTAACAGCAGCAGCAGCTAACAGCTAGTAGCTAGCAGATGCAGCTAACAGCAGCAGCAGCTAGCAGCAGCAGCTAACAGCAGCAGCTAGAAGATGCAGCTAACAGCAGCAGCAGCTAACAGCAACAGCAGCAGCAGCTAACAGCAGCAGCTAACAGCTAGCAGGAGCAGCTAGCAGAAGCTAACAGCAGCAGCTAGCAGATGCAGCTAACAGCAGCAGCAGCTAACAGCAGCAGCAGCTAACAGCAGCAGCTAACAGCTAGCAGCAGCAGCTAACAGCAGCAGCTATCAGCTAACAGCAGCAGCAGCTAACAGCTAGCAGCAGCAGCTAACAGCAGCAGCTAGCAGCAGCAGCTAACAGCAGCTAGCAGCAGGAGCAAGCAGAAGCAGCAGGTAGAATAGCAAGCAGCAGCAGCCGCTAGCAACAGCTAACAGCAGCAGCAGCTAACAGCTAGCAGCAGCAGCAGCTAACAGCAGCTAGCAGCAGGAGCAAGCAGAAGCAGCAGGTAGAATAGCAAGCAGCAGCAGCCGCTAGCAACAGCTAACAGCAGCAGCAGCTAACAGCTAGCAGCAGCAGCTAACAGCAGCAGCTATCAGCTAACAGCAGCAGCAGCTAACAGCTAGCAGCAGCAGCAGCTAACAGCAGCTAGCAGCAGGAGCAAGCAGAAGCAGCAGGTAGAATAGCAAGCAGCAGCAGCCGCTAACAACAGCTAACAGCAGCAGCAGCTAACAGCTAGCAGCAGCAGCTAACAGCAGCAGCTATCAGCTAACAGCAGCAGCAGCTAACAGCTAGCAGCAGCAGCTAGCAGCAGCTAGCAGCAGGAGCAAGCAGAAGCAGCAGGTAGAATAGCAAGCAGCAGCAGCCGCTAACAACAGCTAACAGCAGCAGCAGCAGCAAATCCACCACTACCTTTAAGGGACAGCTGAAGACTGCTCACCTCTTTCGTTAGGCGTATGGGAAAACCTTGCCTTTTCATGAAAACGTGAGCGTGATAAATTGCTTTATTATTAGTATTATTAAGATGAAGACGAACAAAAATGTCGAAACATTATTATCAACTCTACAGTGATAAAGACTAAAATGGTAATTGTGTATGCTAAAAATACGTACCGAGTTCACGGATTGCCATTGGTCAGGGGGAGGGGGTGAGAGGGAGACTGCTCCACACCTCTTTGTACATCTTTAATAACTAAGAGTGGATTAAAAGTTTGACTGCTTTAGTTTGCTTTAGTTTGCCAACGAGAATTAAAAAAAATAGATCTAAGAGAGACAATGTGCTTAATAGATAATTATCATATTCTTGGTTCTTTCGGTAAAGTCACGTAGAAGGGAAACAATAAAATAATAAAAATATAAAACAATAATTATCATTTGTAACAAAACTGGCTGGAGAGTTGGCGCTATTCATTGCATGTCCATTTGTGATGATGCTCCATATGAAAACAGGATAACACCTCATTTATTTTCAGACAGTAGCATGGGTTCAGGACCAAAACTTCAAAACCAGAAGGTGAGAGACTCAGAGGCCAGGATATAGTTATGAGCCTACGAGATGGGGGGGGGGGGGTTACAACTCTTAACATTTCTCCACCGGCTTGGGAGCAACTGGATTGGGTTTAAAATCTTTACACATCTTTAGTTGACAAGCGTATCAATAGGGATCCATTTCCATGGCACCAAAATGTCGATAACAACAAAGTTGCTGATGGGGTTAGTATAGAATTGGCGTCATAGTTAACAATATCATAACACTCCTTTTGTGAGCTTTTCAGCTTTGTGGTTATGTGCCAATGCAACGTTTGTCAATATTATTTGGCATCCTTCAAACAAAAACATCTTGTTTTTTTTTGTAACGTTCTTTATTTTTTAAATCCCTCCAGTACTATTTTCGAGTTTAATTTTTTTTAACAACGTTTAATTGTGATGTTATTGTTAGAAATGTTAGCGAAATCAGCGAGGTCCCTGTACTCGGCGCCTGATAGCACATGTGTTTCAGCTTAAGCTGTCATTTTGACCTTAGCACTGATTTCCCTTGCATCACTCGGCCCAATTGTTAATGTCAGAGTCGGCCCTATCCAGTCAAAGTCATTAGTTGCGAAGAGGCCACAGCTGCAGACCTGACCCTGTTTGTCCGAAGCCAAGGACCCCCCTCTCGTGCGTTTTCATTTCCTGGCTCAGGATTGTGCATGCTGCGCTGCAGTTTGAGGCAGTGAAATATATATATTTCCCCCCTTTTCATTGGACGGTACATATTGTGCTTTTCCACCATTATTAAACGTAATTATCTACTACAGTATGTGTTTTGTGTCCGCATGAGGCAGAGAGCACACTTGGAGGAAATAGAATCAATTTCAGTATCGCTCGCTCCGGCAACGGTGTGTGCATTCATGTGCGGAGGTAAATGCCGAATAATTGAGCTTAATGGTACTCACCTGGAGAACAGAGGTGGAGAGAAATGGCTCCTGCGGAAGCCATGTGAGCTTATTATCACTCGAGCACCACCCTAGGACTCATCGACGGCATTAAGAGTGGCACCGCGCCAGTGGACGCGCGTGCAATGCCGAGGGTTCACGATGCGACAAAGTAAACCTGGCTCGACATTTCACGACCACATCAAAGCGTGCATCTCACCTGCACGGACGCTGTGTCTTTACCCCACTCCCCCCCCCCCCTCCCCCGCGCCTTCCACTTCCCAAACTTCTAAATACTGCACTCAACGCTAGACCATCGAAAATGAGGGTTCACGCTCAATAATAATAATAATAATGAAAGGTGTTGCTCAGCAATTGCTTGCATGGACGTTGGACTTCTTTCGTACCGTACGTAGCCCACCGTGCTGAACCGGAGGTGCGGGGGAAGGACAAAAAAACGAAACGCAAAAAAGCAGTTCGAAATCAAGGACTGCTCGCTCGCGCCACTGATGGTAGAGGGGGACAGCTCTCGAGATCCGCTCCAGAGGGTATTTGGCCTACTCTTCCGCGATGACCAGTCGTCTCGAAAGAGGTGGGTGCACCAAACACTTTAACCCCTTCACACACGACCCAGCGATCAACTTCGCGAGTGGTGAACCCCATTTACACTAACCCGGGCAGACAAGAGGTGGGGGTGATTTAACAAACTTGCACCGTTGTTTTAAACTCCGTGCAGGGAGATCGATCTGTCGACCCTGCGGATTCCACCTCCAGCGTGAAGACCACTAAACCACGGCAGCATCCCTCTGCAAACAAACAAATAATAACAACAAAAATTAGTAGCTTCATAGAGCAGTGACATTCAGAGGCAATAGAGCTTAAACCGTCAACATGGAGGTACCCGAGATGTAACCATGGAAAGAAAGCCATTGAACTTAATTGTGATGGTTGAAAGCCCATTTGACAAATGTTTATCATCCGAATAAATGATTCTACCTATGTGTATGGCTTGCAAGGTATATATGTGGAACTTCTTTCGCACTGTAGTCAATCGTGACAATCACAGGTGTGTGGGGAAAGACTACAAACTAAATTCAAAAGGCGGGTGCTAAAGATATTAGTTTTCAATCTAGATTAATAATTGCATAGCGCTCCAGTGGCTTCCTAATATCGGAAGGAAGAGCATTCCAGACGGCCGCAGAAGCGCATCTGAAAGGGCGCAATTAGGTGATCGTCTTTGCTCGATGGTTTAGCCAAAAGCTGCTGAGGTGGTGGTCAGTGGTTCATTTGTGGCAAGCACTGTGTGTAATGAGTGCAACCTTATGGTTTATTAATTCTCCACCTCTATTGAGGTTAATACGAAATAAAAGCTTTGGTTTTTCACCAGAGAGAGGTGTTTTTTAAAAAATATTTATCATTGCACTTTATCACAAAGAATGTGTGAATACCATTGGAAGCAAGTCAGAAAAATCTGAGCAATAACGAATGGTTTACCATATAAGACATTGTTATTGCACCTGCTATTACCAAAAAAACCCGCACAAAGTGTGCATAGGACTCACTCCAAAAAACACTGCACAGCTCAACTTGAAGAAGAAAGCAAAAAAAAATCCAAGGCCCAATTATTTCAACCTATTCGTAATTACAAATTTAGGCCTGTTAAAAAAAAATCAATTCCAAAACGTATTAAACTAAAATGAATCCTCACAACCGTGTCACCATGCCCATGTCTCACCCACAGGTCACAGGGCAGCTCACTGTTTCTCGTGCCGGTGGCTTGCATGGGATAGAAACTGTGATGTATATGCGCTGTACAATAACACCTTGTGTTCTCTTGCGGTTTTGAGTCAGGCTTGGTGTTTGGAACTCATTACTCCTCATGTCCCACCAGGGTTGAAGTGAGAGTACAAAGAGAGGGAGATTAAAAGAGTGTTAATTATCGCTGGAGAGGATAATTAGGTCCTACATCGTAATTAACTTCACCTTGTGATCAGCCTAATTAATGAACACTTCTGAGAATTTAATGTACTGTAGCTGGAAAACTGGATGCTTGGTTTTAGCTGTTCTTGGTCATTAGCTGCATAGAATATCCTTTCAATGACAAAGAAATAAGTGACAGCTGTAATTAACTGCGAAATGGTTCATGCGGAGAATATATTGCTCAGGTTTAAAGGGTTTTAGCTTCCATTTAAAAAAAATATATATACTGGATTCTTACTTCGCTGGGATCTGTAATTTGTGTCTGTGCTAAATAATTAATAAGTCGCCAGTTTTAAGAGCGCTTTTGAAATAGTACATTGCAAAAGTTTTTCATATATTTAACGTAATTTGTAATTTACTGTACGTGTTAAAAATCTATTTTAATTACTTTTAATGCAGTCTTGAACTTTTATTCGTAATCTATGAAAAGTCACTCCGGTATACAACTTGTTCTCATTATCTTACTACATCATACAGTATATCCATCAGAAACATCGTATGCCAGCTATGTGTTTGCCATGCACTAATCATCTGGAGCTTAAGGCTAAATGTCTTCAGGGAAAAAAACTCCGCACCCACGAACTTGTGTAAATATTATCACCAAGGAATGTGTGCGGGAGTTTAAAAGAAAATTATTCTGCCAATGGCAACAGGTCTGTTTTCCCGCAAACTTTGTAAATAAACTGACAACAGACCACAATATGCCAAGCAAAGAATGACACCTGTGTACTATCATCGTTAAAATGAACAATAAATTGTTTCGAGGCCTGGTTTGTTCAACATTGGCCAGGGCTTTTCATCATTCGAGAGAGCGGAGCAAGATGAATACAAAACAGAAGTCGAAGTGATTTCCTGCTCAAATGAGTATTGAGGCAGTGCTCATCTGATGTTTACGAGCCCTGAGCAAGTGGTGGAAATTCCCCATTCCTATGACAAGGGCGAATGTGTTTTGTTTACCCTGCTGACATCCCCCCAATCTGGCCATGCGTCACCATAGTTTCTCAATATAGTGATCCTCAACGTTCAGCGAATCCTCTTCGGACGTAGCTGTAACTGTATTATTCACTATAATTGTTCTTACAGTTCAGTGAGTCGTCCGTACCATCCACATGCAAAACTAATCTCAATACATTCAGGCCTATGAGCAGCAGCTACGTATACTGTGCAGAGCTCCATGCACCTTAGATCCTGTGATATCTTGCTCACCCTCTGTCCTGCTCAACTCAGTCTTCCTCCACAAGGCTGTAGCCGAGATCCAGGTGTGTCTTGCACAACACCCACCTTTATCTTCTCTTCCCGCTTCCTTCAGCTTGACTGTGTGTGCCTTGGCTGCTGCTGCTGCTGCTGCTGCTTTCACTTGCCCGATGAATTTCTTTGTGGCTTCATAGCCGATGCAGGCCGCTACAGCCCAACAACTTGATTTGTTTCACGCAAAAAAGACCTACCCCTATTATTTTCGAAGCCACCTAAAAAAACGCACCTAGTTCGTACATTCTTGGAACCAAATTTTTGCGTCCTGAGTGTAAGCACGGAGAAGTACGCACTCACTCTTGAAGGCCAAAGTGGCTTTTCAATAATCACAGCAAAGGCACATATGCTGGTGCAGTACACATAGTTAAAGGTACATGCAACCATCTTCTCTATGACGTATTCATTGTCTGTGGCCCCATCTGGCAAGCACCCTCAAATAGACATCTGATCATATGACCATCTTCATGAGGCAATGCACATATTAAGAACTCCAATACCCCCCACTCTCTCTAAAGACGAACCACTGTTAAAATTCTCCACAAATTGGTACGAATTTTATTGACCCCCAGAGGGATTATGGGCTGAGTCAACCAGGATTTGAATTCGTGACCTTCAGATTGTGAGCCGCTCGCTCGACCGCTGAGCCGCCGATTCTTCATTCAAGACAGCGGAGCAATATGACAACTTTCAAATGGTCTAAAAGCTCCGGGGGGGGGGGGAAGAACAAGCTGTTATTTTTACCCATTATGTGTCAGTTTCACCGGAATACGTGCTCCGGCATATTTGAAATGTGTCTGCACTTTAACATTATCCCAAAGAACTTCTCACTGCAAATATTCAGCAGAAATCTGCACCTGTACAAAGTAGGAAAGCCAATGGGTTTTCTCGAAATCGTGCTGGTTTATGTGCAAAGCTGGGCCAAAAGAGGATATTTTACTGTATTAACGCCAGCTTTTCACCTGCTATTAATCTGGGACAAAAGCAAACAGAATTTTGAAATGCTCTGAAAAAATGCCAAAATGCATTAAGAACTGATCAAAGTTCTAAACATATGTATATATATATTTATTTTATCTTGGGAAGGGATGGGATGTGTGGTAGTGGAAGAGGAGAGGAATGCAAATGAGAGGCAAAGGGAGAGAAGAGGAGAAAGGAGAGACAAAGCATCATGAGCAACCACAGCGAAATTAATCCATTGAAAGCTTATTTAAAATTACAGAAACCCATTCAAAATATATATGTTAAATCTAGTGTTCATTCTTCCCATAAAAACTGCCCACGAAAACAAGAGGCAAGTCTCTTTTGAGTGATAAAATGGATGAGGAAACTGCACCGCCATAGGCCAAAAGGCCTTCCTGTCTCTATTGGGCAGCCTATGCTTTGGCAGGCCACTTTCACACATCACTACACTACTGTGGTATTTTCTTTCCCACTTTACTGTGGGAAGTGTATTGATTCTCGTGACAATTGATTTTTGTTGTCGTTGTCCCATGTTCTCTCCATATAGTTGTGTATCCATCTGGCCATCCCAGGAAATGCCTTGATATGTCTGGGGACTGTCTGAGCCAGCAGTCCCTCATTGTAACTCCCGACGCTTGCCAATATTTCAGCAGAAAAGCTTTCATCAACTTTGTTGCTGGTAATTAACCTTCACAAACAAATTGAATAGCAGTTTTAAATCAAACCTTCTCTCCCCCACCAGCCACCCGCCCCCCTACATTTTATATTTATAGACTTCTACACTATTATTGTCTTTAGTGGTTACTTATTTAATGGCTTCTTTTTTTCCTTTTGTTTCCATAATAATTTCACTTATCGATGCAAATCAATGAGCTCTTTTAACATCACTTTAGTTAAAAGCTTCCTATTCACATTTAACAAGCTGATGCACTGGTAGTTTCATCAGCTGACTCCACATAATCATCTCACGGAAATGCCCCCCGTCTAACCGATACGCATCATCAGCTAGGATATTCTGTTGCCCGATTGATACTTGCTTCTAATAGACTGAGCCCACTACCTCTCGGGGGAGGGTAAAGTGAGCTCCCCCCCCCTCACACCATCCCTATTGAGGTTTTACCACTTGTTGGGATGTTAGCAGTGGTTTGTCCTGTGGATAAACTGGTCATGGCCATGATAATGTGGAATGTCCACCGGTGGAGATGAAAAAGTGATCATCGCTAATGTAAACACTTGGGCATTTTGTGTTAGTGTGTATATGACAGGGCCTATTTTAAGGCAACGCTAGCACTGACCATGGATTCATGTAAGTATATGGCATAGTGTTACAGCACACAGAGAAACAGTTACAGCAGTTACAACAGCTGGATATAGCGCTGCTATAGTTACCATTCTGGTAGATTTACTACTGACCAAAGTCAGCTTAACACCGACCCGCTCTGGTTGTCACTAACCATTCAAATAGGCCTTTGGTCCACGATTGCATTGCTTTAAAAAAAATCGTCCGTTAAAGCGTCGTGGAGCGTATATTTTACTTGTTACCATGGCGGTGTTTTACGTGTCCACTTTTGTAGGCACGTAATGGCTTGCCTTTGTGCCCATGAAGATACACCGC